TAAAATGATTTACAACATCTAATTATAAGTTTATTATTCCTCAACCGTGTAAATGCTTTTATTTCATTTATAATTTGCTAATTAATAATTTCAAAATAAAAAATGTATTCTTTTTACTAGTAAAACCGTTCTCTAAAATTATTTCTTTATTATAAAGCTATTTCACATATATAACCTCTTTTTAATTTGAAAATAATCTGGAACTAAGACGTTTACTTTAACTAAACATTAACAAAATTAAAAATATCGTAAGTTCTAATAAAAATCCAACTTAAATCCGTTTATATTAAGCAGATTTTAGCATGCTTTTAAAAAAATCCTCCAATTCATTTTGATAGTTGCCATTAAACGTTCAATTTGGGTTCCCAAAATAAAAATTATGTCAAAATCGTCGTTTATTTTGGCTTTATAGGTGAACCATAAAAACGTAATTCCATTCTATCTCTACTATATACATACATATGTACATACAGCAGATAAAGTTGAAATCGCCGTTTATTTCTTTTCGGAATTAAACCGAAATAGAAATAGAATCTGAAGCGCTTAAAAAAACGCTGGGTGAAAAATAAACCAAAAACATTTGGAGAACGAAAAGCAGATGCGAAACTGCCAACAGTTTTTCCTGAATAGAGGAAATTCCATGGCAACTGCAAATGCATTTTTCTGTCGCATTTCCTGCCCCAGCGTGGAGCATAAAATAACAGCAAGGCAACATAAACACGTGCCAGCCCAGTCTAATGTCGGCCATTTCCTGTTGGCCAAAAACCGTAGGCCAAAAAAAAAAAAGGGAGCGGAAAAGAAAAATAGGCAGGCACAAAGCAAGCGTCACCAGCAGCCGTAAAAGAAGTGTGGAGCTATGGGTTCTGGTCAGGGAAAGGCACAGGACCCAAGTTGGGATCTTTTCCAGACAGCTTCCACCTCTCATTCCACCTTTTTCTACCAGCTTCCATCTCTCCTTCCACCTTTTTCTACCAGCTTCCACCTCTCCCCCACATTTTTCCGACCCTGCCAGGCAAAGGAAATGAGGGCTGAAAAAGCCACAGAAATATAGAGAGAGTTCTTAAAAGCCAAAAACATGAATAGGTCAGGAAATACCCTTCAAAAAGTTTACTTCCAAATAACTAAAATATAAATCTTAGACCTCAAATTAAAGAACAGAATATTCTACCTAGGCAGAATCTAGTCTTACAAGATTCTTAAGCAAAGGTTTATTATTTTAGCACTTCTTAGATTTTTAACCTCTAGCCTCAAATCCGAAAGAAAGTCTTTAGATAAGAGCCCATAAACCCAGGCATTAACAAATATTTAAAGAACCCGCAACAAGAAGAAAAATAACAATACGTAAATCCACAACCGCCAAGACCATAACCACTCTTGATAGACCCAACAACAACACTCCAAGTAACACTAAGAGCCGCTAACATAGAAAAAAAACAGGTAGTTGGAAAGGGAAAAAAGAAATATGTTAATAAAGTGCCAAGGCAGAGAAGGCGGGGGCTTAGGCATAACATAATGTGATAAACTCTGGATGAATGACCTCTCTCTGTATAGTATATGTACACATAGTTTAATCTTCTTTTTTCACCCTCCTGCCAACTGCATTTTAGTCAAAAACAGATGACGCAGATGCATCTTGAAGCTTGAAGGGGCACATGGAGAAAATTCTAGTAAATATAGTATTAAAATTATTATAAATTGGTATTGAAGAATTTGTTTGGGACCTATGTTTGTTTTATAAACGTGACTCGAAGACTGAAGAATTCTTAGCAGAAAAAGCAGTGTACTCAAAAGGGTCTTTGAAAGCTAGTTTAATATAACATTACCCAATTTATTTTTTTGTTTCTATAATTTCTAAATATTTATAATATTTCTCAGTGTCAGCCAGCATTATTTTGCAGCTGCAGAGATGAAAACTTTTGTGCCACTGGCCATTCTTCTAATAGGCCAACAAAAATCTCCGCCGGATAATGATGCACTGACAACAGCAACTGCCACTGCCACTGCCACTGCAGCAGTCGCATGCTGCGTGTTCTTCTTGTCTCTTTCTCTGGCCGTGTTCCCATCTCTTTCTCTGTGTGTTTGTGGCCAGGCTCTTTAGTTATGCATGCTGGTGGTTCTTTTTTTCTTCTCCAACTGCCTCTACCACTTCTTTTTCGTTTGTTTGTCTGCATTTCTTGGTTCGAGTTCATTGCCGCGAATCATTTTTATTATTTTCCTTTTCTCCCCAGCACATTTTACATTCTGGGCCTCTGAGTGGCAGCATAATCATCATTATCACCTCACTGTGTTGCTCATCATGATGAGGAGGAGCCCTGCCCTGTCTTCTCGACTCACTCGACTACCCTTCAGTTCACTTAGTGTTCATTAGCTTTGTCAGTCTCCGAACCCCCTTTGCCTTTCTTGACAAACTCCCCCCGATCATAATTCAATTATTTGCGAGGGATTCGGACAGACAAGAATCTGGGGAAGTGGTTGTGGTTTTGATGGGCAAGATAAACGGTTAAGAAGGTAGTAAAGTTTGACTCGGATAAATTGTTAAGCCAAGAAGATACAACTTGACTTTGTTAGATTTCTTTGTACAATACAAAATTCTTAATAAAACATATAATTACAAAACCAATTAACATGTTTTATCTTCTTTAAATTGCTATATCAAACACTGTGCCTACAGAATACCATAATACCTAGGCAGGTGCGTTTGGCAGTCTTCAGGCACCCAGTTTCCTAGAAATCATAATTTGCACGCTTTCTTCTCAAAACCCAGACACGAGCCTCCCCTCCCCTCTCAAATTCTTGGCCATGGCTTTAACACATTTTCTAAATATTTTCGAGTTCACGATCAAGATCAACGAAAGAGAATAACAATCTCAATTGCCGCTAATGAAGCCGGGCCAAGATGCTGGGATGCTGTGAGAAGTGAGGCCATAAAAGGGGGGTCTGAGATGAATCCCCCTCTCACCATTATGGCCCTAGCTAACCCCCCAAGCTCCCCCCCTTTTCACACACACACACACACACACACGCAATTTGACTTTCATTTCTTCATAGAGTTAGACACTTTTATTGTGTTTCACATTACTTTGTGCTGTGCTGTGCTGTGTAAGTGTTGTGCTCTCTTTGGTTTTTCTCCGTTTTGTTTGCCATACGTTTTGTTACTGTTTGTGTTTTTGTTTATTCGGACTTTTCTTGAATTTCTATTTCCAGCATAGATAACCATTTCTATAAGCAAAGTGCGATATTTCACAAGAGTCTCGGCGGAATCGAGTTGACTACAACAATACGTAGCGCATTATTTTCAGTCCCTCTGTTGTGGCATTGTTTTTCTTTTAACAAAATTCGTTTTTCTTTTGCTGTCGGTCTCCCTATATTTTGTTGTGTTTTTTGCGTATTTTTGGCATTCCCGTTCTGAGGGTTTTTGCAACTTTTCCTGGTTAACTTTACTTGCTACTTGCTGGGGAACTGAGGTACCACCAAAATCAGGGACTCAGTGAAAAAGGGTGAAAATAAAGTAAGGAAAAGTAAAGTAACAATTTAAATTTAACGAAAATAAGCTTTTGTTTATTTTGCTAGACAACTTTAACCCCTTGAAAAAATGTTTTAATACTTTATTATATTTTCTTTTTAAATTTTCTTGGTAGCTACAAAGCAAATATAAATTTCCACAGATTAAAGTTGCACTGATGACTGGGCTGAAATTTATAAATGTCTAAATAAAAGCTGAAAATGCCTGTCACAAGTATTGAATTACTCAAAGAAAATGTTCAATTGAGATAATAGAACCTGATTTATGTTGAAATTAATGGTAATGCTACACATGCCTCATTTTGATTCGTGGAAAGCTTTTCGCTATAATTAATAGGAGATTGTTCTATAATTACAATAAATTTTATTCATTAAATTTATTCATTGCTCAAACAATTTATTCATTTAAATATTAAACATCGCAAACTTATAGATAACTCTATGCTATAAATTGTCATCATTCAAAATTGTTTATATTTATAAGTAGTCATCTTTTCTATCCGTAGTTTCCCTTCGATTCTCCAGTGTCTCATTTTCTTTGACAAAACCAGATTCAACTTTTCATTAAGTTGAAAAACCTTTTTGAAATTAAATTAAGCTCTTAACACTCTGCGTGGAAAACCCGTAACAATGTGGCCCCTGCTGGGCGCGGCTTTTCTTATTTTTTCTTTTCCATTTTTCACACAGTAAGCGCGGCAGACGAAACCCGGGACCATTTCCACTCGGAGATTTTGGTGGAAACTCGCCAGGCAGACACTTGTGCATATTAATTGCTTATTGAGCAGGCTTCCCTTTTCCATTTTCTCCCCTCTCTGCCCCTCGCCCCTTTAGAGGGGAAGTCGGATGGAACAAAAAAACAACCATGGCGTGAAAGAATTGTTTGGGAAAATCCTCGTGCACGAGAAAAGCCTTTTTTTATTATTCTTTATCAGTTTCAATCACTCCATCGCACCCAGAAGTAACACTACAGTGGGGACTCGAAAGTGGTGTTTTTAATTTAATAAAATCTAATAACCAAACCTAGTAATAAATATATAAGAATTTTTTACTTAATTATTTTAAAAAGGAAAACTACACACTCTGGTCTTCTCATGTTTCGTGTGATAAAAGTAAATGCAAAGAGTGCACCTAAAATTCCCAAGTAAGAATTTGGAGATAGGGAAAATCAGAAATTTGTATTATTTTTGAATTTTAAATATTAAAATTAACTTCTTTGGTGATTTTGAGCAACACAAGTTAAGTTTCTAGACCTATTTTTGACTCTTGAAATACTTTTATTTAATTTAAAAAATTACTCTTAATTAAAGGCCACATTTCCCTTGTATTCACTGTACTTCCCCTCACAGTTCTCAGTTCTGGCTTTCATTCATTCACTCCAACACACATACACACAACACACACTTATTCATACCATCCCTCCCTCAATTTCCATTGCCCTCACTGTCGCATTCATTCATTCATGCAAGTCTCCTTCTCACCTGTTTGTTTTGTTGCTGTTGCTGTTGTTTTTCGTCACTAGCCTGGCTGGCTTCTCCGTCTCCCTTCCTCCCTCGCGTGCTGGAACAAGCGTTTTCCGGCCAAAGGTCGGTTTTTCCTTTTCGGGGGTCAGACGTCGCGGATTCGGGTGCCCCTTTGTTGCAGCCACTTGTGCGCGCCTCTACCTTTATTATTTTTTTTTCGTTTTTTGTTTATCGCTTGGCCCTTTACTGGTTGACAAAATGCCAAACGCTTGAAATTCCTTTATATCCGTTTTTTATTTTTTTTTTTCTCCCCGTTTTATATGCGTTTTTTGTTTCGTATTTTTCAGTTAGCGCGCGGTTTTAAAATTTGGTTTATTCTTCTGTGTTTGATGAAAAAAAACAAAGTGTAATGCTGTTACTGCTGATGTTTGTTGTTTTTATTTTCACTGTTGGTTTTCCCTCCTCCTTGTTGTTGTTGTTGTTGCTTTTCTCGTTAACCTTTTCCGTTCCCGTGCACGTGTTTGATTTTCCTTTGCTGCTGCTGCTGTTCGGGTTTATGGCAACCTGTTTGCCACCGGAATGTTTTCGTGTGGTTTTCCCAAAGAACCACCAAAACGAATGAAAACTCAGCTGGAATGCCACGAGTAATAATTATGATTGCATTCGAAAATCTTTGTAATTTCCGCTTTGTTTTGGCCTTTTTTTTTTGTGTTTTTTTTATTCAATGTAAAATTTTAATGCGCTGGCTTTCAAAGGAAATTCTTTAATCGGTATTTGGTTTGGTTTTTTAATGGGTTTAATTTAAAATACCACATAATGTAAAGCAATTATTTCAATTAAAATTATTCTAATGGAAGCAAAGGTTTTTAAATGAAAAGACTCGGAATTTTATGGTTTACCTTAACACATTTTTAAATTTATTTTAAATTTTTATAGGCTCTCCTTAAAGCCAACTTGTTTATTTTAAAAATTGTATTGTTTTCACAAGATGAAATGTTTGCCAAGTATGTAAATTTCTTATTTTCAAATTATCAAGAATTACATTTCTATTGTGACACATAATTATATGCAAACAAAAAGTCACTCAAACTTTTTACTTATTTACATTTTCGACTGAGGTATTTATACAATTTTCCGCAACAAATAAACAAATCAATTAACGGTTTCGTTTAATGCGCTCCCAGAAGTCGGTCAATATCTGGGGGGGAGCCGAGAGTCAAGTTAAGTGTGTGCTTTAAATTTAATTAAGCCTTCTGCTATTTCTGGTTTTTGTCTTGTTTTTTTTTTTTTTTTTTTTATTTTTTTTCTCTTGATTTATTTCTTGATTTTTCAACAAGAGGCGCAAGTTGGAGAGACCGGTGGATTCTGGTGGCTGCTTTCTAAACACAGATGTGCACGCTCCGCTGGAGCTGCCCACTCGAGAAAAGCAACAACAACTGCAAATACAACAACAATGGCAGTAGATAGAACCAGCAGCCAAAGACAAAGACAACAAGTTAGACTCGCCGCCTAACGGTAAATCAAATGAAAAACTTCTATTGATAGAGTCTCGTCGAATTCACAGCGGCGACGTCACGGCGCGCGTTTTAAATTTCTAGCTGGAGGAGAAACCGTTGTTCGGTATTCTCCCCCTCTCTCTTTTTCTCGCGAAAACCAAAAACCGAAAATTAAAACTGGTTTTTGAAACTGGCTTAGAACAGAACGAAGGCAAATTTGCAAGTGCAACGTGATAAGGAAAAGCATGCAAAAATTACCACGCACCAATATGCACACACACGTACGCGGCGAGCGAGTGCACTCTCTCTTTCTTTTCCACACTCTGCGTCTCTTTCTCTCCGTTTTTCCGGAAAAACCGTCCGAAACGCTCGAGTCTTAACAGGTGACTGAAAACCAAGAACCGAAAGTCCGCAAGTCGGGTTTGCGCCACGTTAGTGGCTAACAGCGGCGTCGCCCGAAGATGAAGCAGCGACGCGGCAGAGCCACTTCGGCTCTGCAAAGCTATGGCCACTGTTATGGCACTGGTAACTTCGATGTGGTGCATGCCACCTTGAAAATAAAGGTTTGATGTGTAGTATTAAAATATTTTCGGTGGTGCATTCAACTCACGAGTTGATCGCTTTGCCTGAGTTGGCCAGGCATGCAGAGGCATTGGCTTTACATTGGCTTTCAATTAACTAACCAAATTGGCAATTAGCATTTGGTAGTGGGAAGCAACCAATTACAAGCTTATTTGTATTACATTTAACTGTTTACAAATATAAAGAAAAATATCAAATTATTGTAGTTTTCATTTACTTTTAGAAATTAATTTTTAGCGAAAACAGAATATTATTTAATTGTGAATTAAATTACAGATGGAGTCATTTTGGAACCTATAATTCATTATATTTTTGATCAGCATCAATAGGCAAGTTGATCTAGACAAAAGCATTATTTTTAAAATTTTATAAGGGGTTAAAATTATTTAAAATTCACAAAAAATTTGATTTAAAAACTTGCACAGAAAAAGCTATAATATTTTTTGATGTATCCAAAAAAATATCATACAAAATATGGGTAAATATTTATTTGAAGAGTTTAAATATTTCCGGTCTTTTTGAAAGGAATCAGGATTTTATGCAGTGAACCAGTAATTTCCGACCCTATAAACTATATATATTCTTGATCAGCATTAACAGGAGAGTCTTTCTAGCCATGCCGGAAAGAAAAATAAATTTAAAAATTTTTTTTCAAAATTTCAAAATTTTATAAGGGGTTACATCATTAAAAATCTCAAAAATTAAAAAAAATTTTAATTTTTCAAAATTTTAAATTATGTATGCAGATTTGTTAACCTAGAAAAAACTAGCATAAAAAATCTTTCCGAATTGAATTTGATGCTATTTTGACTTAGTTATGATTTTTTTAACCTTTGGCTTTTCACAAAAATTAAGGATTTATTTAAAAGCTTCTTGGCGTCATCTAAGGGTCAAATATGGAATGATTTATGTATATTCTGATTCGCCATTCATTAAAAATTCAAATATATGGAAAATATTTAAAAATATGCACAGTTTGAATATATTTTGTATTTATTTAACATAATCATTAACATCAACTGTAGCCAACAGAAAGCATTAACATTGCAGAGGCCGACAAAAGCCGGCCTGAGTTAGCAGCATCTGCAGAACGAAGACTTAACATAGACCACGCACCCAACCTAAAACAAAAACAAATGAAAATAAACAAAACCTGAAAACAGAAAACCCACACCATAACTGCTCCCCTGACCTATATGCCAAACATCCTCTAGAGAAAAAAAAAACACCCACTAAAAAACGAAGAAAAAACATAGCACCGAGAAAACTTTAAGCGCAACTAATTATGTGGCGGCAGCATACGGGTATTTCTGCAGCTTTAAATAGTTGAGCCTGAAGTCTCGAGTCCCTGAGATGCCTCAAATACTTCCGAATTCCCATTCACGTTCGAGTTTGGCTTCAAAGATTCCACAAGTACCGGGAATCTGCAAGTTATGCGAATGCGTTCTTCCACGAGCTTAAACTTACTACCTTACATCCTCTTCCTTTAGAAGTTTTCAAATATGCCAGTCATAACTGGTAGTTTTCTTGTCAGGAATTCTTTAACAGTGGGAACACAACAATACTTAAAAATTTACATGGTTAAAATTTAAAAATTAAGCAAATAATTAATTTATATAAAAAGGAGAACAAGGTGCACACATTTAGAAACCAATTTTAAAGTCTATAATCATAAAATAAATATTTATTTAACTCATTAAAAATATGAAATTTAAAAGTATTTAACTAAAATGTAAATTAACAGTTATTTAAATCTTATCCTATATTTTTTAATTTGGTTATACATTTTATATTCTTACCATATTTTGCAAATTATTATCAGTTGCTATATTTTGCGTTTGTAATTTTCGTAAATATATTTTTGTATACTTTTGTTTGTATAATTTAAAATTCTTTGCTATCCAAGCTTCACTGTACAGTGTACACCATCGTCTGACTTTGTTTTGGCTACTGTTATTGTTTCTGTTATCTCCTGTTTTGGGCTGAGTGAATTGTGGCTGCCGTTGAGTTGAGGCCTCAAGGCTGCACTTGGCCTTTTATATGTATGTTTTTTTTTTTCTGTTTTATTTTTTGTTTTTGTCCTGGCTTTGCTCTCTTTTTGGCCTCATCTTTGCTTTCCGCTCTCGCAGGTGACGTGGCCTATTAGCAGCGATAAAAGTCGAAGGCGCTCAACAACAAAAGGATATCCGGCTGAAGGAGCAGCGAGCCGGCAGGAAGATTCGACCGGCAAAAGCAGCAGCACGTGAGGGCATGCAACGTGTGTGTTTCACGCTCTGCCAGATTACGCGAGCGGGAAAATATGGATGAAAAATTAGCACATTAAAAATATATATATGTATGTATGTGACTTACGATATCTTAATATGGCAGACGTGACGCCTCCTGCTGCTCCTAAAAATTTCCCTAATGTGTCACGAGATTAGCCTGAATTCATATTTACTTTTCGTATTTAATTGTGCGAATTGTTTGCCAAAAATTTAAAGCAGTGCCAGCTCAGCCGTATTATCATTGTCACCATTTTCCATATGATAATTAGCCAGTTGATTATTTATTTAACGGGAGAAATGCTGATTTGATTTTGGTACTATTTATTTAGTCTACATTTTGTCGCTTTTAAATGGGTATAATTTGGATGATTTATAATCGGATTGTCATATTAAATATGTACAAATTAATGGGAATTTAGCTTCGTTTTTGAAATATTATAATTACTTTTCACTCTTGTGTTGTTACATTTTTAAATAATTTGAGTTCCTAATTGAGCCCCAAAAAGTGTGCTATGAATTTACGATGAGCAGCAATTAGTCAGAGTTTCTCTGTAATTTTCTTGTTTTTCTTCCATTTACCTTAACGTGATTTACAGGCTGACTTTTATTTTTATTTTTTTTCTCTCTTCCAGTCTAGGATCATTAACATTTCATCGTGTTTTGGACTCGAACTTTTAATTGAGGCTTCGTTTAGGAACTCGACATCTCTATTTCAATGTACATATGCTCATTTTTGCACAGTTTTTTCTTCACTTTGATACTTCTGTCTTTCATTTCAGTTTTTGTAAAGCCATGTTGTATATTTTTAGTTTATTTTCCACAGCAATCTTTTTTTTTTCGTGACTTCCCTGCCTTAGGAGCCTTTTAAACAGTTTTCACAGCGTTTTTGCGTAGTTTTTTCTTCAGTTCTTTCTCTAGGGTTTCCCGACTTTTCCTTCTCATCCTTTGCTTGTCTATTTTTGCAGCAATCTTTTTTCTGGTCTCCGTTTTTAGACTTATGGATGTTGACGCTTCTCCAGTGGCATTTTCCCTCCTATTTTTTTGTTCGTCCCATTCATCCAGTTTAATTGGCATTTAACAAGCCTCCTTTGTTCGTACTTTTTTTCCGCCGCTGGACAACTTTTCAATTCTTCTCACCTCTGGCTCATTGCATTTGACTTTGTCTGTGCTCACCTGGGATAAATGCGAATGCCATGCCCATTAATGTCAACTCATTAGACACCGCTAACCATAATCCCAATCCCCAAATCGTCCTGGATTCCTTGGAGATAGCCCCAGTTCCCCACAGCCACAAATAAGTGACAGAGGAGGAAGGAAGACCTAAAAACCCGAAACTCATTCCAAGTCCTTGGACACGTAGCATCGCATAATTACAACTTAATCGCTTGACAAACAAAGCAGACGCCCCCACATAAACAGCAATAACAGCAATGAGGAGGGACCGGGATAATGCCTGTCCTAAGTTTTAAATGGCGACCCAAAGTCACTTTAAAGACTCCTCGGCCATTCGGCCATTCTAAGCCATGGACGACATTCTGAACTCCCCTTTATTGTCACGCCTTAAATAGTTAATAGGGAGTAATGGCTGGCAGAGGGGAGATGGTAAAGTTTAAGAAGGTTCTGGGGTTTTGACAATGTGAAGCATTTAAATAAATATAAATATTTATTAATACTTAAAGTATACAAGATATTTTTTAGAATTTGTTTAAGATCTCAACTTTTTATTGAGATAAAATCTGATATATTTATTAAGCAAAAATAGTCAATTTAAAAAATTAAACTAAAAAATAATAAAACTAGAAAATATATCTAGAAAAACGTAATATTTAACCATTTAAAATATATTTTCTTAAGCTACTAAAATAATAAAAAAAAATACTTTCCAATTCCTATATTTTATTCTTAGCTTTAAATATTTTGGGCCACAACATTTCCCTTTTATTCCTTCACAATATCCAAATCCACCCACTTTTATTTTAAAACAAGAGTTGACATTGCATGCAAAAACTATTTCCATGTTAGGCGACCAACCCGGTTGCACCCCCAAAACTGAATATTTCATGACAATTAAAATGTTAACTCTGTCAAGCGGCATGCACACGACCCCTGCCACCTGCCACCTGCCACCCACTGCGTTCCTCAAATTTTCCCCTCCACCGAGGGCACCCCTTAACCACACAATGCCACACACATGCATAGGGGCCAAGCCCGCAATAAGCTTACACTTACACCTGCTAAAATCAACCCCTTCCACCTGCCAACTCCTGCCACCTGCCACTTGCAACATTCAAGCGAATAATGTTGCGGTCAATTTCATTATCCTTGTCCCCGACCACTAATGCACTGCAAATT